CGGATAGACTCGGTGGCTTGGATGCCATGAAATCCTTGTATTTGCATCCACGTCCATCATTTCCTCCATCCTGGTGGTTTTGCCTAACTATCGGTGGGTTGGCTTGACCAATAGTCCCACTGTAGTTTCCTTCTTCAGTCTGCCCTTCGTTCAACTCGGGCTGTTCGAGCTGAATAGTCGCTTCCTCTCGATTTTGCTGGAGCAAACGCCTGGTTTCCTCCATTTGACGATCCAACATTGCCTGGATCATCGCTTGCACTCCGGCCATCGTTATTGGTCCGGCAGCGGCTTCCACAACTGGTATTTGCTCGATCACGGGGGTTGGTGTCCGTTCCCATTTGCGTTTACGTTTCCGCTACGGGTCCTTACCATCTTGATCTATATACCGAATAAGGTGGATTTAGATCTTTATTTAGGAGAGACGTTTTAAATCGTCCTTATCACTCCGAAACGTTTACATGCTAGTTCTAATATCGTAGTCGTACGTTTAGAATCCTAAACACATAAGGTTCCAGATCCGGTCGGCAACAGACCATAGATCCCGAACAAAATAACAGCATATCATGCATAAAACATTTAGCACATAAAAGCATTTTAGGCACAATTCCTAAAATAAGCTAGTGCTCACACCTCACAATCATCGCTTAGCATTCTAAGTTTAAGTCTAGAAATCCTACAAATTCCTAGTTCGCTTAAACTAATGCTCTGATACCAACTGTGACATCCCCAAAATCACGGCCAGAAAAGACCGGTTTTGTTTATACTTTATTTCAAAATCAGAGTTATCTTTTAATAAAAGGGTTGCGGAATTTGTCCCAAAACAATAATATGATAAAGATTTATCAAAAGCATTTCCATAGAAATGTATTTCATTAAAAGACTCGGGATGTCATGTTCGTACAGATCAAAAGTATAAACAGTACAATATAAGCCTTACTACATTATTTCATATCTACAGGCCTATATCCGTAATCCCTCGTCCAAAACATCACACCTATGCTCATGCGCCACTACCTGTAATGCATAAAACTGAGTGGGTCAGGCTTGGGAGCCTGGTGAGCACATAGGGTTTTCAACCCACAATAAGTTTATTAATTTCATCAATCAACAATAACCCGATTACCCGTTCCCGTTATCCTCACTTTACGTCCCTAAACACCTATCATAAGGGACCTAGCCTAAGGATCATCATCGGGACGGACACTACTGCTAAGGGGATTCCTCAGCAATAAATGTCCTAATAGGCAACCATGTGGGGGATGGAGTACACCGGTGAACACATCGTTCACAACACCTACAGGTTGCGACCTGCTAGTGTTCCACTGGACTGTCTAGAAGAGTCCGTGGTCGTCATCTATACTCCGCTAGATGACTGGATCAACAACAACAACATCGAGGCCTCTCATCATTTTATCACACATCACCTATTACATCTACCCATGTTTTACCCCAACATTTTCGTAGATATAAAATACATATACAGTTTAAATCATTGAAAACATGTATAACAACGTTCATCTAGCATAGATAGCAAGTATTCAGATAATATGCACACATAGCACGTAATTTATATAAAATACTTCATATCTATGTGTAAGTTGAAGGTAACTATGCACTCACCGGAAAAGGTGGTGATTCCGAACTCAGACAGCGCTTCGCTTCTTAAAAAGAATTTTTCTTCGACGAAACCTAGTATTATTACCACTAGAGTTTAGTTTATTATTCGTCGAGACTAATTAATAGTCTAGCTATTATTATTATTATATAAGCGTCAAAAAAATACTTATATAACCCATAATAATAGCCCAAGTATTTATTATAAGTTCCTAATAACGTTACTATAATTAAATAAAAGTTATATTAAAAATAGCGTAGGCGTAGCTCACTTACAGCGGGTTTTATAGAAAACCGGGCTTTGCTTGGAGCAGCGTTCCCGAGCCGAAAAGCTCTTCTTCTCAGAGCCTTCGAGCACTCCGGGGCTTCCGCCTCGTGCTAGGGAGGTTCCCTAGGCTTTTCGGGGGATTTCGGGGCTAGAGAGAGGTTCTAGAGAGAGAGAGAGAGAGTAAAGAGAAGAAAGAATGGGAAAGGTGTGAAGAAAATGAGGGTGGGAGAGGTGGTATTTATAGGGTGAAATGTGGCTGAACTTGGTGCCACATGTCACCATCTGGTGGCAAGCCTTGGGGAGAAAGCAATGGCCAAGATTGTGCCACATCACCCATTTTCGCACAGCACACTTCCGACTTCTAAAATCCGTAACTTTCACATACGACCTCCGTTTTTGACGTTCTTTATATCCACGCGTAGGTAATAATAAGATCTACAACTTTCATTTTGACACCGTCAGCTAATTCTCGACCGATCTTAAATTTAACAGTACAAGGAGATTATACTGTTAAACGTCTGCGTAAAATTAATAACTTCTACATACGGACTCTGTTTTTGTCTGTCTTTTTACCGTTGATTTCCTATTAATGAGATCTTCAACTCTCATTTACGTTGCGTAAGCCAAAAACCGCTCGAACTAAAATTCGAGTTTCAGGCCGTGCACTGCTAAGCCGAATCTTAGAAAAATCATAACTTCTTCATACGAAGTCAGATTTGGGCGTTCTTTTTATCGATGTTCTTAGTTTAACATATTCTACGACTTTTGTTTAGATTGCTAAGGCTAAAAAGTCTTCTATCGTAAATTCACTATTTACGTTCCCGGTGTCGTGCCGGTTTTGTCGTAAAACTTCGGCGGGCCATAACTTCTTCTTTATAGCTCGGATTTCGGCATTCTTTATATGCACGGAAACCTTGAGACATATTCTACAACTTTATGTAGAGATATCGGGATTATCTCACACTTTAATTTTGACGCTCATTTTTATTCTTTATTAATTATACATTTATAATTAAATAATAAACACATAAACACACATAATTCACATAATACTCAAATATTTCATATTTATTACTTCAAAAAGAGTTACAATAGTTGACCTAGACTATTACATTGACAAAAATGCTTAGCCCTGAAAACCCGGGCGTTACACACAAGTATTAAACTTCAGATTTTGGGAAACCACATGGACCATTTATGATGCTTTTTCTTAATTATAATATTTTTATTCTTGTTTAAAAACTATTTTTATAAGGTTTTTGGAAAGAACATGTATATTATTATTAGCCATTAGGAGAGGTAAATAATATAAAATCAACCTTGTGAATTGTTTTGTATCTGATGGTAGAATTTTTGGTCAATATTAGCAACTAATTATATTCTAGTAAATATATTCTTTTAAGTTTAGTATTTTATATAATTAACTATTTTTGTATAATAATATTTTTATTATACTTCCAGTTATACTTAATCTTCCAACCTTATTATTTTTAAGTACTTAATTTGTTTCATTTTATGACTATTTATTTTAATTTGTGATTGGTAAAATATTTATACTATTTAACATAATTTATTGTTAAATATAATTTTCTATAAAATATATTATTTATTTAAGAATAAAGATGAGAGAAAATATTTCGTAAAAACAAAGATACACTAGTTAGTTAATTTAAAAAATATGTTTTTATCTCCTTTTATGTTTTGTTTGTTAATTTGTATTGTTGAGACATAATTCTTGTTCATATGCTTATATTTTACTGCTCACAATGACTTCTTTCTTTGTTTGCCTCATTTTGTAATTTCTTAGATCCATATGCTTCTAATTTAGTTTACATATGTTTATGTTTTGATGTTAACTTTGATTTACTTTTTTTTTATTTGTCTTTTTTACAAGTATCGGTTGTACATGTCGGAGGTCATCCATATGATGCAGTTGCTCTACCTCTTATGGAGGCGTTGTCTAACATTTCATCTTTATCTATCCCATTTTAATATATGATGTTTGTTGTGTTGTATTGTTGTAGATATAACATCTTATATTATAATTACTTTTTTTAACACCCTAATTCTCTTATTTTTCATTTTAAATTTTCATGTAGGATAACTTTACCTATCAATAGTAATGTCATAATAATATTTTTCTTTTGAAACATTACAGTAGTGGTTAGATGAATGTTTTTGGGTTCATGAACGTTCTTATCACTGCTCCAAGTCAAACTTGTGAATTTCATTTTTGCAATTGAAATAGGTTTCATTGGAAATCAAAAGTCAACTGATATAAGAATAACTACATCTTCTTATTCACCAATCTTCTCTAAACAGTCAAACTACTTCTAATAAAGCTTCAAAATCAAACTCTTGTCATATTGACCCAAAACTCAAACAATTACTAGCTTAGTTCACAATCAACTATTAAGGTCATTTTTCATATGGTTGTAATAAAATGTTCTTGATAAATGATATTAAAACATATTTAGTCTTTTAACAACTTGGGATTTAATAGAAAATTTCTCTTTTACCAAACTTTTTCTACCAAGTCGTTTTTTTAGTATTAAATAAAAATAAGAATAAATTACTAAAATTGTCCTTGTGGTTTGCCAAAATTTCGTGTTTGGCCTCTAACTGTTGTTTTGCACTCAGACCGTCCTTAGGTCTTGATTTTATTACGGTGTAAGTCCCTGCCGAATAGAAAATGTTTATAATACCCTTAATATTTTATTTTTTTTAGTTTTTTTAATATTTTATTAATTAAAATAATCAATTAATATGCATAGGCGATAGGTCCCACCTTACCCCCAACCCTACCCCAACGATCTCACCTTCTCTCCTCATCTCTCATTCTCTCACATCTGATAAAGAAAGTAACTTAGGCCCTACCACCACCAGAAACACAAAATCGTGGCCACCAGAAACCACCAAATCTCCGGCGATGGACGCACTCAGACCATCATCTACTTCGTATCTATCAACTCTTTCTTCTTGTCACTTTTATCTCTCTCGACGTCATCATCAGTTTTGCAAAGGTTTTACTGACATCAATTTCTCTCTACTCCGTCTTCCTCCCATTTTTGCCCCGATATGCTTGTCGATCGCTTTCCTGAAGTAGATCTATTTGGCGCTAGTCAATGGCAATGGTGGTGGCAGCAAATCCGGTGGTGGAGACTTCAGGGCACGGTAGTTGTGGCTTTAGAGCGGCGATGGTGGTGGCTTCAAAGCGGAGACGGTAGTGACGTGTGGTTTATGTCGATGCTTTGGTCGTCTGAGTTTTGGTCTTACCGGATTTGAGTTACAAGTTAGGGTTAGAGGAGTAGGTGTTGGTTTTTCGACAGGGGTGGCTAGTGTTTGCTTCAGATTTGTTTGTTCAGATCTGCATTAGCTTTGGTTTTCATATCTCATCAATTGTTTAGGTTATATAATAGATTTTTCTAGATGTATTTTCATTTTTCCGATGGTGGCCAGTGGTGGTTATCGGTGGCAGGCAGGTTTTTGACAATGGTAGTGACATGTGGTGGTGATGGTGTGATTGTTTGATTTATGGTATGATTTTCAGGTTTTTGGGTAGATTATGGTTTGATAATTGTTTGAGGTTCGGTTGTGGTGGTTTTTCGACGACTGGCGGTGGTTAGAGGTGGCTAATGGTGGTCGATGACTGACTGTGTGAGTGGGAATGGTACAAGTAAAGGAGTGAGAGTGCAATTAGGTCAATAAATCACTTAAATCATTTCTTTTAATTAAAAAAATAATAAGAAAATTGAAAAGAAAAATATCAAGGGCATTATAGTCATTTTCTATTAGGTAGGGACTTACACCATAACAAAATCAAAACCTAGGGATGGTCCGAGTGCAAAACAAAAGTTCGGGACCGAACACGAAATTTTGGCAAACCACAAGGACGATTTCAATAATTTGTTCTAAAAATAAAACACATATAATTTATCATATTAAATCTTATCTTCAAACAACTAGCAAAACCACCACCAAATTACAAAGAATGTAACCAAAAAAAAATACAAGACAACCAAAGTAGTTGTTTGACATTAAAATTTAAAAAAAAAAAAAGTAAAAATCAACAAAATACATCCGGATCTTCGGTTTCTAGGAAAGAAGCCAACGCAAATCTTGTTTTCTCACTTATTTTTCAAGAATTCATGCACCAAAAGGATTTTGCACAAAAACCTCCATCCTTTTTTTACAAGGCTTTAACAAGTCAAGTCAAGAAACCCAAACACAAACCAAAACCAACACCCCATAGATTTTTAGTTTTCCCGTTTTACCCTCAAGTTCCAAGCTTGGTTCTATACGTCCACAGGGGCAAAAGGGTCTTTTATAGTTGCAAACCTTCAGTAGGCAATGAGCCCGTTTTGCAAATGTCCCCACGACATAATGGGCAAATCCTGTTTCATCAAGTGAATTTAAAATTTTAAACTTAAGTGAAATGTAATTTCATAATTACACATTTAACCCTCGAATAAAAAAAATATTAGCAAAAAAGCACCTGTGGATTTCCTTGAGCCATTTATCAATGCATAGCCTATGAAACTCATGATGACATGGAAGCACACGAACTTCATCTCCATCTTCATATTCAACAAGGCATATGTAACATCTGTTCACAAATAAACCAAAACCAAAATTACAACATTTCTTCTTTAAAATGATTCACGTTAAATTTATCTATTTGCCCATAAAAAGAAATACTCAAATCCTATATACATACTGTGCATCATCTTCATTTAAATGATTTGGCAACTTGTGAAAGTGTTTAAGAGGAAGAGCTTCCACAACTTCAATTGGAGCAGGAATTGATCCGATTGATGACAATATAGGCCTTGATGAAGAAACTACAGATTGCTGATGAATTTCATCCAAAACCTAATTAAAATAAGTCCACGAGTTTCAACTCATATAAATATATAAATTTTTTAAATGAAAGATCAAAAGTTCAAAACATATCATCCTTTAATCCCCATTATGTAACCTGATAGACTGAGACTGGAATCGATGTCAATGGGAAAAAAACAAAAGGTTGTACTTTTTGTCAGATCCAAAAAGGTGGAACAAGATGGGACAAGACCACTTATCTATCAAAAAAGATGAAAATGTCCTCGTTATAAAAAAGAAAATGTAAGGATAAAACGATATCACCTCAAAGAGAGCTTCGGCCAACAAAACAATTCTTGAAATGCTACCCCTTGTAGTATTAGTATTCCCATCATTTGAGTCTTGATTGTTGATTCGACATGAGCAATGTCCTGATTGATATTGACCAGATAATATACAAGACCTTTCATGACCTGAAAGATTCTCAAATCGATTTCCCATTCTTTGTAATGCATGTACCTAATAATGCCCAAAATCCCACAAAAGGTTTGTTATCAAGTGCTCGTTTTGTTAAGAAACAGGACACATGACATGACAGTACTTTATTTGACTCAGACTGATGTCAATAAGACAAACAGTGCAACTTTTTGTCTGACCTACAAAAGGGTTGTACTGCATCTGACTTGCATTTGACTTAGAATGATATCACTAAGACAAAGATTGTAACTTTTTGTCTTACCTACAAAAGGGTGGTACTGCAATTGACTCAGACTGATGTCAATAAGATAAAGATTGCAACTTTTTGTCTCTCCCCTAAAAAGGGGTAGTTGGGTATTATAGGGACGGATGTTAATGAGACAAAAATTACAACTTTTGTCAATAAGACAAAGATAGCAATTTTTTGTCTCACCTAAAAAGGTGTAAGTAGCATGGTATTATAGGGACCGGTGTCAATAGGACAAAAGTTGTAACTTTTTGTCACACCCAAAAGAGATGGGACATAGACTTGCTCTCAATCTTTGGTTGAAAAAAGACGTGAATACCCTCCTCATCCTCATCGTTGAAAATAGCCCAAGAAATATTGTACATTCGGGTCCAGTCCTATGTAACAAACGCAACCAAAGTATAATGGATACCTGAGATCTTATTCTTCGTCTTCTTTCAAGAAAGTTTGACCTATGTTCAAGAAGGTTGCTATATCTAGTTTCTCTAGCACCCATGTTATCAACTTCAAAATCTTGATTCCCAAACAAGGAGTTAGAAATGGTGGAAGGAGTGTAACTAGAAGTTGTAGATATCATCACATTCTCATTAGACAAACGTGATCCACTTTCACTAACTTCATTCACCACTTCTCTTTCTTGTTGAAATGGGAAAGATGCTAATTCAGGAAATGTTGGTCTATGAAGAACTCGATCACGAAGTCTTCCAACACTTAAAGTTCTACTAAACCTAACATTTTGTTCAACAGGTTCTCGGGATTCCATTCTCCTATTTCCACCATAGCGAGAAGCATTTCTTGGAGAAAATAAGCTTCCATTGTTATTGGAAATGGCATCTCCACTTAATTCATGGATAGAACTTATATCACTATTATCAGAGTCGGAATCATCATGTTGTGGTGCATGAGATGATGATCTTGGCATGAAACATGAAGGAAAAGGCTCACAACCCACACGGGTTTTTGTTTTGGTAGAACGATTGGAGTGAAGGTCTTCATCATTTGATATGATGGAACTTGTGGAAGATTCCGGATATGCCCTTGAGGAACGTGAGCTTGTGTTACCAGGAAAGAAAGTGAAGCGAGAAAGGAAGCGACTTGAAGGGTTTTGGGAAGAAGAAGAGCCACTGGTGTTTCTTGATACAGTGCCACTTAGGCTTGATTCACCCCATTCATTCACCTGTGTTTCAGAAGGTATGCATGCCCTTTTATCTGTTCCTTTCTTTTTGATGCTTTTGTTTCGATCTGTTTTACCTTTTGATTTTGATGTAATCATGTTTGAACGATTGCCCTCGATAGCGTTTTCTTTAGCTACCTGAAAAGTTAAAACACATCATTGATAAGTTCGCTCATTATTCATCGGTACTAAAAAAAACATCACGATTGTTAATCAACATTGATATAACTGATTTAAACAATGTAGGGATTCCTAATTTCCTAGAACTAGTCTCTCTAGCAAGTATATATCATTCACGAGTCATATATAAAAAAGTTTCAATTGAAATCGGAAAAAATCTCTCCTACTAAACTTTACGAATGCGCATCCTAGGTTTTGGTTAGGGAAAAATACATAAAAGAGCAAAGAGAAAAGTAACCTGTTCGTCGTCGATGCACTCATCGTCATCAATGTCGCTGTTATCGGAAGATCCAGATGCCGGTCGAATACACGAAGTTTGAAACACATTTCTCGAATAGCTCCGCCGGCCGATAGGCGTCGCCGTCGCTTCAGGGTCAATAGATTTACTGGTGCTCGATCCCATCTATTTCTGTCAGAACACTCGCACACTAACCCACAATCGATTAACTCCACAAAGATTTCATTTTTCAGATACCTAAATGATGAAGTTTATGCAAAGGTTTCAGATCCAGATTTTATAAATGACTGATGGCATTGGCACTTCCATTTTTCCTAAAATGAATAACATGTAGGTGGATGGATAAAGTGTACGTCCCCAATCCCATTGTTATATGTGGAAATCGGATTCGGAGGTGTTGGGGTTTGGAAGATAGAGAGGGCGGAGATAGAGCGATAGACCGCCGTGCAAACGGAGAACCCGGGATTCAAATCCGAACGACTGATTGTACCACGACTTGTATTGACGTGGGGCTTTGCGTCATTATTATTGCTGTCATGTTTTTTTCCCCACAAACAAATATAGTAATATACTAATATATGATAATGCATAAAATGACATTAAGAATAAAAATTCAATATTACAAGATAATATATTGTTATAAATAATTCATCTCATTCTTGATGGACAGACGAAGCATGTGATGTGATGAACAATTTTAGTCTTTGGATCATTTTTTTTTAACTATGTATGGAGGGATTTATAGAGTTCAACTTGGTGTGATTCACATTCTATTCTATATATAATAAATGGTTATACAATAAAGTAACAAAATAATGATAAAATACAGGAGATAACATAAATCAATATGTATAATGTAACATTCATAAAATTTAAACTTCTCGAAACAACCGTTTTTCTATAAAAGTGTTTACAAAACTTATTAATTCCAAAACTTTATTTTAAAATCAAAACATCTCTCAACATATTTTTCAAAACTTTCATTTTATCATAGTTTCCCAGAAATCATAAATTCAAAACGCGAGGATGTGTACGGTCACGCCTTCACCTTGTCACAATCCACTGAAGTGCCTGAAACCATAAACCAAAACAATAAGCATGAAGCTTAGTGAGTCCCCCCCCCCCCCCCCAAAAAAAAAAAAAAAGTACCAACACCCAACAAATAATAGCACGCATACCGAGACTTCATCCTGACTGGACCGTCTCGCAGGGCCTACAACCTATCTGGATCGCTCCCGAGCCTTCGGCATGACTGTACCGCCTTGCAGGGCCTACAGCCTATCCGGACTGCTCCGAGCCTTCGACATGACTGGACCACCTCGTAGGGCCTACAACCTATCTAGACGGTTCGTCGGGCCTTCGGCCTGACTGGACCACCTCGTAGGGCCTACAGTCCATCCGAACCGCCCTAGATATGTTGGCCATTAGCACAAAGCAATACCGCCTCAACCCGACCACACACACACACATGTTAACAAATACATAACTCATAACCACATAATCAATCAACAAGTAAACACAGATCGTACATATCAATAAGCATAGCATCATCCTATCTACCAAGATATCGACCTAACATATCATAACAATATAGCAACATCCTATCTACCAGGATACCGACCTAACAGATCATAACAACATACAAACATACAATAACCATGCTAACAATCCAGAGGGTTGGCCTTGGTGCCTTCGACCCATAAGTACGGTGAGGAAAACTCACATCGCACCACCGAATACACAGACGATCTCTAGCTGCTAGTTGCCAGATCCCCGAATCGCCAACATCAAGACAGCACCCCATCAGCAACTGATTCCATGAACAATTTCCGACTGCAGATCCTGATGGGTTTTATACAAACAATCATATGTGTGTATGCAACCCTAATTGGGTCTATGTTTTTACTATTACACATACAACTTTATGAACACAAAAAGAAACCTGGGATACTCCTATGATTTTCGAAATTCACAAAGGAGAATATAATACATACCTTTCGTTGTTATATAGCAATAACAACTAGTTCCTTGAATTTCCTTAGCTCTTGAAAGCAAGTACCACAAGTGTAGTACCTCTAATGGCTCACAAACACACTTTGGGTGAAATGATGAATATGAGAAAGAGGAAGGGAGGCAAGAGGCTCTAAAATTCGACCCTAGTAGGGTTTCTCCAAGGAGTGGCCGAATTTAGTGCCTTAGGGTGCTATTTATACTTAAGGCTAACTAGGGTTTCAAGGTGGAAACCCTAATCCCTTAGCTTAGGGCCTAAGCAAGTCCATGGACGAAAACTCCTAGATCCTTCTAGGATTTTCGTTCAATCCTTAATAAAGGTGATCCAATAGCCCAAAGTCTCAACTATCAAATAATTACAAAATAGCCCCTATACTTTTAATTAATTCCCTTAATCCCGAAATTAATTCCTAATTAATTTCTGATTAAATACTAATTAATAATATGATTCCAAATTAATATATTATTCATATAATATATTAACAAATCATATTTATACTCCAATTTATTATTCTTAACAATAAACCAACCTCTCTCCTCAACAATCATCCTGTCTAGTCACCAGTGTGAAGGCAACCCAAAAGGACCATGCTCACAATCAAGTCAAATACATACCAAAATAGTTATGGACTTAGACAGTAATCCAACAGTCTCCCACTTGGATAAGTCTAATAACTATTCTGCGTATGACTTCAGAACCTGATCATCAATCGTAGCTTTCAAAAGTCGTTGTCAACTCTGATCGTATCAGAAGCGTGTCCTTTAGACAAGGGATCATATATTCCTCCATTCTAGATATCATATAAACATGAGACATGGATTTTGATCATTCTCTCAGTCTATGTTCTGTTTCTCGATCTCCTATTTATGACGACTAACAACAGACTACAACTGAACACATCAAATCAGTCCCAACTTGGCCAAACGCTTAGGGTGTCATCACTAAATCATCGAGGGGCCCAAAGATATCACTTTTATCCCACTTTGGGTAAAAGGAATGGATGAACTTCGACTTATTGCTTGCTTGTACTCACTCATCGAATCACACACAACAATAAGTTTTATAACACCAAGTTACTTGTGCGTTTACTTATCATCAATGTGCAACCGACCAGCAAATAACAACCCACACGTCTCAGTTATAAGAATATACAATATTATCGACTCACAATCACTCATGATAAAATCCATAAAGTGATTTTTGTGAGCGTGGGTTTAATCCAATACTCTAATCTTATTAAAGCACTCATGAACTTTGCAGCAAACTTGTGCTATGTCTAAACTCTTCAGACAATCTACAGACTCTTCATGACAGTCTTCCTTCATACCTACTTCCAACGTATGACCGACTGTGGAGGTTCGAATAACCCAATTATTTTGGAAGTCAAAACATGCAAAGAGAAACACAATGATAATACTTAATCCTATATGACCCCAAACTTGTAACTATAAATAAAACACCTTTACTTAATCACCATATTGATTACTCATTATTCATTGTTTAACATTTCAGATAAACAACTTTATAACTCAAATTATAACCACAATTGTCCCATGCTCCAAGCATGCACACTTTGGTTTCCTATGGTCCATACTTTGTGAAATAGATCAATTGAAAAACGTTTCCAATGAAGCTCATTTCACAATCCCCAATCCTTATAATTAGTGTAAGAATACCAAATTCTTGCCACTTTTAGAATATGTCAGATTCTAATATTTTATACAATGATCTTTTTGTGAAGTCACGGCACAAAAGTCACAAAGACTCGACCAATGAAATCACAAGGTACTCTATCAAAAATTATTACAAAACAATTCTATAGATGTGATGTCTCTCACTCAAAGTACATTCCTTTGAACATCCTTTTTGCATAAAAATTTCTAATCTAGACATAAATTCTTAATTTCCAACTCCCAATTATAGAAACATTTTCATATTTGCCATATGACAACTCATTCTAAATAGAATCTTATCTATTCATAATAATGTCGATATGGTCCATCCATTACTATACTTCCAACTACTCACAAGCGACCAATCCTCAGCGAACTTTGGATCGTCCTTTGATAGTTGTGTAATTATTTTAGTCAAAACCGGTTTTAGTCCCTTTTCCCTCTTAATGCCCTTGGCATTTGGAAAATTTTAGAACGATCAAATATTAAAGCATTTGCAATCGATCGTATACTCGAAGCGTATGGGACACGATGCATAATGTCTTACATAAAGATATGATACTTTATCAATCTTCTGCCATAATATTTTATGTGTCGCGTTCTCACTATTCGAACTATGAAGAGGGATGCCGTAATCATAATTGAAATTTGAGAACACACTATGTATCCTTTGACTAAATTTATTAAAATTTCTTAACCTAAGCTTTAGATTTTGAAACGAAGTACAATATTCTTTCCCTTAATTATAGCAAAACAACTCTTCAACCCCTACAACTTTGCAAAGTGAATCTTTGTTTTCTATAATTAATATTGCTAACTTGCAATACTTACCATAATAATCATACAAGTATAACACTTATGCTCCCACTATTATGATGATTATTATCATATAAGAGTAACACTTATGCTCCCACTAGCTTTGACATGTATTAAAAAAATAGTTGAACTTCCAGAAAACAATGCTTATTGAATTCCTTAAGTTCATATTTCTAATACCAGATGCTTTGATAATCCTTTATCTAAGCTTCTTAAACTCATACACATTTTCTTAGAAAGCTTACATGTATGTCTAAACAAATTCAGAACTTATGTTACTAAGTCCCAAATGTTCAGACTAATTTCCAAATCTCACAATTCGAACTATGAAGAGGGATGCCGTAATCATAATCGAATTTGAGAATACAATTTACACAACTGCTATCTCCTTAAAATCTCTCTTAGTGAAAGAATTTCCTCACAATCATTTTCATGAAGGAGGGAAATCTTATGACACTTAGATTTTATGGTGTATGCGTTCCTATCCATGTAAATTTGTCATAACAACAATCATAAGACAATGTTTGCGACAAATCCATATCATATGGACATAACTTGTTCAATCTCAACTTCCTGCCTCATGGCAGCACGCGTGCCTACCATTGCTTCTAGGTTGTTAAGCAGCTCACCCTTACCTATCAATGTACTTTTCATTGATCAAGGTTCTTGCCTTTATGCGTTCAAATGAGAACTCATAGAACTCACATACATAGTTAACTCAAATGGAATGGCATAGAAACTAGAGTATGTAAGTCATGATAGGTTATAAACCTCAAGTCGTACGCTAGTGATGATCAACTAGGTTCATTCTTGAATTTGTTCTTGAAACTTTTTAAGACATTTAAAACTCCCACTAACTCCTTGACATATAAGGTTCTCTTGTCAAGAAACTTTTCTTGATAAATAAATATTCAAGAGTTAGTGTAGCTTTTATCAAGACAAAACACTTCACAAAATTGGTCATAGTTGGTCTTTGTCTTATCCAAGACATCACAACTTACCAATTTCAAATGGGCAAGAATAAGAAAACTTTTCCAAATTCCACATTTGATGAGTGTTATAAACCTACTTAAGACTTTTCACTCAAGTCACAATCTTG